TTTCACTTGTCTATATGGCAAGATGAACGTTGCTATTTAAGCCAAGATCGCAAGTTCTGCCTATTCGGCACGACACACACACACACACAACACATACACACACACACACACACACACACACACACACACACACACACACACACACACACACACACACACACAACACACACACACACACACAACACACACACGACAATATAATATAATAATATATTATAACTTATATAATATATATTATAATGATTATATATATAATGAAATAAGCAAATTCCTTTATAACAACACAATTGAAAAAGCTGAGGAAAATATATTTTAAATCATGTTTGCAAGACAATAATCACACTTCAACAATACGAGAGATATTAAAGATTCAATGAAGAATGAAAAAATGTAGTAACCGTGGCTGAAACACTTCATTAAAAATCTACAATACTGTGGCTGCAATCATTCATGTCCAACCCATGATTTGAAATCACATTTTTTTTCCCACTGCAGGGGTAGCAAGAATAGAAAAGGTAAAGACTGGGATAGGATGGAGTAGTGACAAAATAAGATGCGATGATAGGAAGAGAGATTGTTCTGACCACTTCGGGTGGAACACCTCACAACTGACCCTTACTTTGAGAAAGGCTTTATAAACACTGTTTCACGACTATCTGTAAGGAGGTAAAGGATAGTATGATACAGACAGATGGGAATGCAGCATTTTTAGTGGTCTGTGTATTTCACTAATGTACAGTATGTATGAAAAAGAGAAGTTACCTAAGAACTGGCGAAGAGCATGTACCATATAGTTCCTTTGTCTATGGGAAAAGGAGACAATAGAGAGTAGGATATATAACAGGACAAGCCTTTTGAGTATATTGATAAAATGTATGGTAGAAGTATTACCCGAAAGATTTAGGGGTGAAGACAGAAATTAGGGGAAGGAGGATTGATTTAGGAGGGGTAGACGGTGTTTAGATCAAGTCTTGACATAGAACTATATAAATGATAAGGATAAGGAATTCTTTGTTTCTTTTGTGAATTTTGGAATAGGCTGTAACAGGTGGATGAGACCAGTGTGACAAATATTTCAAATGACTGGACTAGTTAGTTGGTTACCAAAACCAGAAACAAATTGTTATACAGAGAGTAAGACTCAGGTTGCTGTACGTAGGCGAAAGGGAAAAAAATTCAATTGAGAAATTAGACCTTAAACAACGAGGTCACCATTGCTGTTTATAATATTTCTAAACTGGCAGGTAAAAGAATTGAAAGTTAGGGTGTTGGGGAGAGGTTAAGAAATGTTGAATCGTGTAATAAATAAAACCTGGCGTAGTTGTTTTTTGTTAATGGCTCAGCGTGTATGAGATCCTGAAGAAAAGTTGTTAAGGTCGCTGGAGAAGTTTGAGAAGTTGTCTATAAGAAGGAAAATAAAAGCGAACCTAGAAAAGAGCAAAGTGATGAGTGTAATACGACCTTGACTATGAAAGTATCGATTTTTAAGTGAAGGGAAAGAGCAAGCATAAAGTGAATTTATTTAGACATTTGGGAGTGAATGTGTCGGCAGATAGGCTGTGGATGATGAGTTGAATCATAGAAGAGACGAGAGGAAAACAAGGTAGGTTGTATGTTGGGGAATCTGTGCAAAGGAAGAAGTTATGTAGGTGTGAGTATGGGATTCCAACGTTGCAGCAAGAGAGTTATAGGAGATATAATTAAGAAAGTAGAAGATAGGTTGTTGAGGTGGTTTGCTTAATTAGTAAGGATGAAACAGAATAATTTAATAAAGAGGGTAAATATTCTGGGAAGCTAGAAGGAGGCGTAGAGTCTCTCAAGAGGATGGAGAGGTTTTATGTGAGGGAGGGATGGTGCTCTTGTCAGAGGTTCAATTGAACTATGATGTCCACACACCCACACACTCCTGGCAAGGTAGCTATTAAATAAATGAGGGTGAAAATCTTTCCTTCATTGTATCTCCATACCTTGATACGAGGAAGTCGATTTAATATATGTATATATATTATATATATATATATATATATATAATATATATATATATATAATATATATATATATATATATATATATATATATATATATATATATATATTATATATATATATGTCGTGCCGAATATGTAAAACTGGTCAATTAGTAAGAACTCATTTAAAATTAAGTCCTTTCTAAAATTTTCTCTTATACGTTTAAAGATATATTTTTTTCATTAATGGTAATGTAAAAAATTTTAATTTTGCACCAAAAGAATCTTAGAAAACTTACCTAACCTTATTATAACAAGAGTAATTTATATTAGCCTAACCCAACTAAATATATTTTAGATTTGTTGACAGTAATTTTATACTTAACAAACACAGTGAAATATATTTTTTTCGTTAGGTTCAGAATGATTTTGGCGAAATTATTGCATACACAAATTTTCACTTGTCCTATATGGCAAGATGAGCGTTGCCATTTAAGCCAAGATCGCAAGTTCTGCCTATTCGGCACGATATATATATACTATATATATATATATATATATATATATATATATATATATATATATATATATATAATATATATATATATATATATATATATATATAATATATATATATATATATATATATATATATATATATATATATATATATTATATAATATATATAATATATATATTATATTATATATCTTCCTCTGCGGTAACTTACGAGCATTTTAGTTTTAAATTCTCTTTAGGTTATTGTCCAAAATGTAAAATTATTCCTCTCTGGTTGGCAGAAATAATGTATATTTGTATTAGTAAAAAATGTTTATGTCTATTTATAAATTATGTGCATGGGTATATAAATCACATGTAAAGAAAATGATCTGCATTAGAGTAACAAACAAGTAATTGTAGATATCCCTAGTATTTGTTGTGTTGTGTGTGTGTGTGTGTGTGTGTGTGTGTGTGTGTGTGTGTGTGTGTGTGTGTGTGTGTGTGTGTGTGTGGTGTGTGTGTGTGTGTGTGTGTGTGTCCTCAGTATATTTCATTTGAATGACGAAAGTTCATTGAGCTGTTCAAAAAATCGAAAGCTTGATATAAACATATATTCACACATCTTTAATGATCTAAGTTATTTCTCAAGTTTCAGTGGAGTGTATGTCAGTCATCAATGAAAGCTTCACAGGTCTATGTTTTCTCAAGTTTCAGTGGAGTGTACGTCAGTCATCAATGAAAGCTTCACAGGTCTATGTTTTTTCTTTTGTAAATTTCAAGTTTTATATTTGAGAACTTTAGACTTTAACTGCATAAAATCGTTCAAGTTTTTCCTGTGAGCCTTTCAGATTTTTTTCTCTATGGGAATTTAAGACTTTACTCGTGAAAGCTTCAGACTCTACATGTCAAAGCTTCAGACTTTACATGTCAAAGTTTCAATCTTAACATGTCAAAGCTTCAGACTTTACATGTCAAAGCTTCAAACCGTACATGTCAAAGCTTCAGAATTTACATGCCAAGCTTCAAACTTTACATATTAAAGCTTCAGACTTTACATATCAAAGCTTCAAACTTTACATGTCAAAGCTTCAAACTTTACACATTAAAGCTTCAGATTTTACATGTCAAAGCTTCAGATTTTACATGTGAAATCTTCTGGTTTTACCTATGCAAACTTCAAACTTTACTTATGGAACTTCATACTTGTGAAAACGTCAAGTTTTACTCATAAAAACTTTGAGCTTACCTAAGAAACTTCAGACTTCACGTGTGAAAACTTTAGGATTTTCTTGTGAAAACCTCAGAGTATACCTTTTAGCGCTTCCGGCTTTTCATCTGGGAACTTCAAGTTTTACCAGAAAGAACAGAGAGCTTCAAGCTTTATCTGTGATAAGCTGAGTCTTTTGTGTAGAAACTTCACGCTTTACCTATCTAAGCTTCCAGTTTTATCTGTAAGACTTCAGACTTTTCTTGCGAAAATATTATTATTTTCTTGTTAGAATATCCAGTTCAGAACTTTAGACTTTACGCTATGAAGCTCAGAACTTCTGCGTCCATCAGTGGAAGCTTCAAAGTCTTCATTACTAGAAGTCTTAAGTTTAAAGTTAATAATAAAAAAAGGTCATCTTGCAACTTTTTCTCCACTCAGACTTTCTATTTTTTTTATCTTTTTGGAGGGAGGGGGAAGGAAAGTGTTTCAGCTCCTGCATGAGGGGCTGTACCTGGCTTGTGCCTGGGTTGGAATGATGGGTTGGAATCTTTGGGTTCCTAGTTAGGAATTAGGGGGCTGTCTGGGGGGATTGGCTTCAACGTTGGAATCATTGTGTACCAGATTGGGAATCAGTGGGTAATCGGTTGATAATTCTTTTTTCTGACTGGATGAGAAGGATAAAAGGCACAAAAGCAGGATAATGGGAACCTTTGTTTGGTATTTGTAATACATTATACTGCATTTGTGTCTTTATCCATCTTGTTAGCATTAGATATAATTTCTTTCCAGTGGAAGTCAAGTCGACATCCTTGTGTAAATACATGGCTGGAGTAATAGTGGGAAGTATTGTGCTCTAGGGGTGGAATTATCTACTGTTTGTCTTCGTATTTTGGAAGAGCTAGGAAGGAATCGTGGGAAATATAGGATGGTATCATAATAGTTTTGTTTAGAGTGATGGAACACGACTGGGTTGGAATCATGAACTGCTTGGGAGAGAAGTATCGAATACACCTGGGTTGGCATCATGGGATACCTGGGTTATCATCATGGAATACCTGGATTGAAATCATAGTATACCTGGGTTGGAATGATAGTATACCTGGCTTGTTCATGGACTACGTGGATTCAAATCATAGTATACCTGGGCTGGAATGATTGTATACCTGGCTTGTTCCTGGACTACCTGGATTCTAATCAAAGTATACCTGGCTTGTTCCTGGACTACCTGGATTCAAATCATAGTATACCTGTGCTGGAATGATAGTATACCTGGCTTGTACCTGGCTGACCTGGCCCACCAAACAAGACGCTCTCAGAATCTACCTGTCTTGACTCCTAATTCGTCGTCTTGGACAAGTGTTCCAGTCGTCTTAATCCACGTCGTTCCTCGTCTCCAGATGACTGTTTCCAAGACAACGACAACGACGACGACGACGACGACGACGAATAAGATGAAAAAGGCGATAAAAATGCTCACTTGTTTCTTTGGTATTAAATTTCGTAAACTTCGGCACGTAAAAAAAAGAGAACAAATATTTTACCCACTAAGTTAAGTTTTCTAACTTGTTAAGTTTTCTAACATGTTTTCCGTATAAATATACGTTTTCTTTATAAATCTTTGTGTTCTCAACTCAAAATCTCATTGCACATTAGAGGGTTTTGCCCTCAGTGTATATATTTCAAGGAAATATATCGCGATATACACAGAAATGTACATAAAAATGTATATACTTCGAAAGGTTTTCACCCCGTGGTGTCAGCTGAGGCTGGAAGGTTCACCACGACACAGACTCTATACCCGAGCTCAGGTCAAAGGGCATCGTGACCTCGGGAAGGGGAGATACAAAGCGGGGAGGACACGTAAACATCTCCCAAAGGGATGTAAAAGGGGAGAGGAGAGAAGAGAGGGGGAGATTATCGGTAGCGGGGAGCGGCGGGAAGCAGCGGGAAGCGACACAACCACCCTCTACAAACGCCCAACAGGCACTGAACCAGACACGCGCGGGGCATTCTGGCACTGATACCCCCCCTCTCCCCCTCCCTCCACCGTAGAGTGCCTGTTCCTATACCCCCGTCCTCCTCCTCCTCCTCCTTACCCTACCCCCCCTTCTTTCATCCCCCCACCCCCACCGTCTGCAATCACTATTCTATCTCTACAGGTATATTTCATTCCTCTTCCTTCTTCCGAAATTAATAATTAATCACGAAATTCTAACTTTCTCTTTCTTCTGTTTATCATACTTTTCTGTCTCTCGAATACACTCCCACACCTGTACACCTGCACCATGATGGTACTCCCACACTTGTACACCTGCACCATGATGGTACTCCCACACTTGTACACCTGCACCATGATGGCACTCCCACACTTGTACACTTGCACCATGATGGTACTCCCACACTTGTACACCTGCACCATGATGGCACTCCCACACTTGTACACTTGCACCATGATGGTACTCCCACACTTGTACACCTGCACCATGATGGCACTCCCACACTTGTACACTTGCACCATGATGGTACTCCCACACTTGTACACTTGCACCATGATGGTACTCCCACACTTGTACACTTGCACCATGATGGTACTCCCACACTTGTACACTTGCACCATGATGGTACTCCCACACTTGTACACTTGCACCATGATGGTACTCCCACACTTGTACACTTGCACCATGATGGTACTCCCACACTTGTACACTTGCACCATGATGGTACTCCCACACTTGTACACTTGCACCATGATGGTACTCCCACACTTGTACACTTGCACCATGATGGTACTCCCACACTTGTACACCTGCACCATGATGGTACTCCCACACTTGTACACTTGCACCATGATGGTACTCCCACACTTGTACACTGCACCATGATGGTACTCCCACACTTGTACACTTGCACCATGATGGTACTCCACACTTGTACACTTGCACCATGATGGTACTCCCACACTTGTACACCTGCACCATGATGGCACTCCCACACTTGTACACTTGCACCATGATGGTACTCCCACACTTGTACACCTGCACCATGATGGAATCCCACACTTGTACACCTGCACCATGATGGCACTCCCACACCTTTACACCTGCACCATGATGGTACTCCCACACCTTTACACCTGCACCATGATGGTACTCCCACACCTGTACACCTGCACCATGGTGGTACTCCCACACTTGTACACCTGCACCATAATGGTACTCAAACACCTATACACTTGCACCATGATGGTACTCCCACACCTGCACACCTGCACCATGATGGGACTCCAACACCTGTACACCTACACTATGATGGTACTCAAACACCTATACACCTGCACCATGATGGCATTCCCACACCTTTACACCTGCACCATGATGGTACTCCCACACCATTATATCTGCACCATGATGGTACTCCCACACCTGTACACCTGCACCATGATGGTACTCCCACACCTGTACATCTGTACCATGATGGTACATTCCCATACCTGTACACCTGCACCATGATGGTACAGCTGTACACCTGCACCATAGTGCTTGACTTACACACCTGTACACCTGCGCCTTGATAGTGCACTTCCACATCTGTACACCTGCACCATGATGGTACAGCTGTACACCTGCGCCATAACAGTACACTCCCACACATATACCCCTGCACCATGATGGTACAGCTGTACACCTGCGCCATAACAGTACACTCCCACACATGTACACCAGCACCATGATGGTACAGCTGTACACCTGCGCCATAACAGTACACTCCCACACATGTACACCAGTACCATGGTGGTACAGCTGTACACCTGCGCCAAACAGTACACTTTCCACACATGTACCCTGCACCATGATGGTACAGCTGTACACGTGCGCCATAACAGTACACTCCCACACATGTACACCAGCACCATGATGGTACAGCTGTACACCTGCGCCATAACAGTACACTCCCACACATGTACCCCTGCACCATGATGGTACAGCTGTACACGTGCGCCATGCTGACACGCAAATATTGACACATGATCGCCGTGTTTACACTCCCAGTAACGTTCCCTGAAATGTGTATCATCAGTCTATAAATAATTTTTAACCTATCATGTGTCACTTTTCTGTTGGATATGAAGAATCTATTCTTCCTGTGGAGTGTTTTTCACCCCATCAATTTCTACTTCTCTGTTGGACACGAAATATTTGTTTATCTATGGCATATATTTTTTTAACCAATCAAAACTTAGTTTTTCTGTTGGTACTAAAATATCAGTTTAACTATTGGTTACTGAAGCATCAACGTACCTATGTCTTTTTATTAACTTCTTATCCCCGACTTTTCCATTGGAACTTAAAAAGCAATTTATTCATAGCAATTCTCTTCTCTGCAAATCTTACCCTGTCAACTGATCAAAGATATTATAGTCGAGTACATAAAAGTTTGCTTCTGCAAACATTTTCCGTACTCGACTGAAGAAGCCTGCGGTGTAGGCGAAACATTTCGGAATAAAGATGGTTAACTGTTGCACATGTTTCTTACCAAACATTTTAATATTCATACCTTACTCTTCTAGTGGTACTTATGCTTGACTTACTTCACTTAATTCTTCTGATGCTCACAACTTAATGACTGTCTTTACCTTTGCAATTAAGGCGGCGGCTTACCTGTGTACTTAAGGCGCTGCAACCCATAAAAGTTCTTTACTTTAAGAGAACAGTCTTATATTTCAACACCGACTCTTATTTTAAAACACTGTTTTGCCTAGAGGCAGCAGTGTTTTAAGTGAAATCAGTCGTGTTTAGATTTTGCCAGCTGAGGGATGAGTTAAGTTTCTCTGGAAATAAGAGATTGTGTACAATAATTAGGGGTTAAAAAGAATTATTCCATGGAAATATAAAAGGCAATGCTCAGAGAGTGATCAGAAATTTTACCGAGATCAATTTCAGAATTATCACACACACAGTTAAGAATGTTTTGACTGATGTAAGATTTTTGACAGGCATAGCTAAGATTTTTGACAGACAGATATTTGACTGATGTAAGTAAGATTTTTGACAGGCATAGCTAAGATTTTTGACAGACATAGTCATGATTTTTGACAAATATAATATTTTTGACATATATATAGCTAAGATTTTTGACAGACATAAGTAAGATTTTTGACGGCCATAACTAAGATTTTTAACAGATATATATAGCTAACACTTTTGACAGACATACTTAAGATTTTTGACAGCTGTAGGTTAGCTTTTTAACAGACATAAGTAATATTTTTGACAGACAGATATAGATATAGATAAAACTAATATTTTTGACAGACATATGTAACATTTTTGACAGACATAACTAATATTTTTGATAGGCATAGGTAAGATTTTGGGGAAATATAGCTAAACTTTTTGACAGATATAGCTAAAAATTTTGACAGATATAACTAAGATTTTTGGCAGATATAGCAAAAAAAATTTGACAGACGTAGCTAAATATTTTGACAGATATAGCAAAGATTTTTGAAAAATAAAGTTACGATTTTCTACACAGATATAGGTAATATTACTCAAAGAGTGATAAGAATTATTACAAGAAACAATTGTTATACATATAAATTAGAATTATTACTCGGATAATAAAGAATTATTTACACAGATATATTAGAATTATCACAAAGAGATAAGTATTGTTACAAAGAGATAGAGAATTAAGAAGCAATATCCTAACTTATAGACAAGCTAAATAATTATAATGGTATTAAAATGAGCAGGATATCTGCTATGCTAGTGGTGAGCATGATATGCTAGTGGTGAGCATGATATGCTAGTGGTGAGCATGATATGCTAGTGGTGAGCATGATATGCTAGTGGTGAGCATGATATGCTAGTGGTGAGCATGATATGCTAGTGGTGAGGGATGATATGCTAGTGGTGAGCATGATATGCTACTGGTGAGCAGGATATCTGCTGCTGGCGAGCAGGATATGCTAGTGGTGAGCATGATATGCTAGTGGTGAGCATGATATGCTAGTGGTGAGCATGATATGCTACTGGTGAGCATGATATGCTACTGGTGAGCAGGATATCTGCTGCTGGCGAGCAGGATATGCTAGTGGTGAGCATGATATGCTAGTGGTGAGCATGATATGTTAGTGGTGAGCATGATATGCTACTGGTGAGCTACTGGTGTTCAGTGGTCAGTCGTCAGTGTTCAGTGGTCAGTCGTCACGTGAGGTCACAGACCCTGAGCTGCTTTGGGGATTAGCGTGGACGGTTACAAAGCATGGCTTGCTTCTGCAGTGTTTTAAAAACTGAGTTTGGAGAGTTGAAGGAGGAGGTCTTGCTTCTCCAGGAGGAGATTAGGAGGCTGAAGGTCCACCTCAATGGGCCTGGGAAAAGGTGTGAGGTGGTTGGAGATGGGGGGAATGAGGCTTCTAGCAGTGAGGTGCAGTCTGTCTCTCACTGTGAGGAGGCTGTAGGTGGGGAGGTAGCAACGGGACCAGCAGTGAGGTGCAGCCCAGCACCTGCTACAAGTGGGGGAGTTGTTCACAGTAATGGGAGGCGCATCAGAGTAAGGAAAGTTAAGAGTGAAGATCTAAAGGTAGAAATCGCTTTTTGTTCTCCAGGATGAATGTACTTCAGTGGCCAGTGAAGGTAAGGGTACTACGGGCCCCTGCTAATGAAGGTAACGCATTCTGTGGTTTGGGTGACTCTCGGGTAAGATATGTTGACCGTGCTTTTTGTAATAGGAATAAGAAGATGAGAGATAGAGTGTGCTTCCCTGGAGCTGGTGTTGGGGACATTGTCAACAGACTGGATAATATCATGTCAGGAAATGGGAACAACCCCATTATCTGTCTCAGTGCTGTGGAAAAATGATATTGGGAAGGGTAGGAGAAAGAGCTGCTAGATAAGTACAGGTCAGCTATAGATTTCATTAAGTCTAAGGGAGGGACCCAATCATATGTAGCATCTTGCCTAGAAGGG